CTTCTTCTTCTTCTTCTTCTTCTTCTTCTTCTTCTTCTTCTTCTTCTTCTTCTTCTTCTCCTCCTCCTCCTCCTCCTCCTCCTCCTCCTCTTCCTTCTCCTTCTTCTTCTTTTGGTTTTTCAAGACAGGGTTTCTTGCATAGCTTTGGAGCCTGTCCTGGAACTCACTCTGTAGCCCAGGATGGCCTCAAATTCACAGAGATCCTCCTGGCTCTGCCTCCCGAGTGCTGGGATTAAAGGCGTGCACCACTACTGCCAGGTGAGTGTGTGTTCTTCTTGTTGTGCTCATATTTCTTTGGTTAAGTCAAAGCCTTTTAATTGTGTAATTATAAATACAAACCAGTCTGGACGACTGAGGATCAGCTAGCTACTAACTGTCAGGAGCACACAGGCAAAAGAGTATAATAGGGAGGAACTGGTGGCCTTCAGAGGAGGCCTAGGCCACAGTCAGTAGATGTTACAGAGAGGACAGAGCACAACAGGGACTTTTCCAAGGAACTGATAGAGGGGAGGCTGATTAAGCTTTGATTGTATTCCCAACTAGCTGATTAAGAATGCAGAGGGAGCGCATGGAGGGTGGGGGAGTTAAGCAGAGCTTAGGGAAGCCTGTTTAGGAGGGATTCCAAAGCAGACAGGCAAACGGACCAGGCTGAGGAGGGACAGAGTGATCTGGACATCGAAGAAGTGTCAGGACAAAAGAGCAAACCACACAGCTTTGCAGTGAATCGGGAGAGCTTGCGGACTAGGGGATTATAGTCAACAAAGGGGGCATCAGAGGCCACGCACAAAGACAGACTGTATAGGTCACTCTCGGAATTTCAAACTCTACTTCCAAGACAATGGAACCCAAGAGAGGCCCTGATTTGAGAGGTCTTTGCCTTGTGAGGAAAGAACTGGAGTGCCAGATCAGAAGGGATCTAAGCAGGAGCCGGTGGAGTCTGAGTTTGCGTGATGTCTGAGGAGATGGAGACAAGGTCCTGTCCTGGTTGGCTTCAACAGAACATGCTGTTGGTTATGGAGGTGGAGCTAAGGATGAAGGGTGGCTCTTCAGGGTCTAGAGTAGTCACCTGGATGGAGTGAAGCAACCTTGTTTGCGACAGTGGACGCAGGAGGAAAATGAGGGAACTTTCGGGGATGCTGAAACACGATTCTAGACACGTCACATTTGAATACCCAACATGAGGTGACCTGTGGGTGGGTGGGTGGTAAAAGTGTGTGTGTGTGTGTGTGTGTGTGTGTGTGTGTGTGTGTGTGTGTGTGTGTGTGTGCTATTTAGGAGAAAGTTCTGGACTGGAAACCGGGGTGAGATGTAAATATACATACAGAAGTACAAATTTAATTCACAAAGAAAGTAAAATTGAGTGTACACAGGAAAAGTGAACCCTATATTGCCAAAATGATGACAAGACTTCTGATTGTCCCTGACATCTCAGAAGCGTGCCGAGGCACTCAAGTCATATAACAGCACCAGCATGAGTGTACTGAGATCTCCCTAGTGTTTAGAAACTTTAGTGTAGCAAACCTGGTTTCCCTTATGTAAATTACTCAAGCAACAGTAGCCTGGGAAAATCCATAGCCTCACTGTAGCGAACACAATTCTACACAGAGGCCCTGTAATTGTAACTATTTCTTGTCTGTGGTTCTAAAGCCGGACAGGGCTACAGGCAGATGGAAAGATCTCACCTAAACTAGGGTGTGTCAGCATTAGAGTCTTCCATTTCCCCCAAGAACGGCAGTGCTCACACAGGTGATTTGCTACAGTGGGAACCAACGGGTATGGGGTTCGAGTCTCCTCGCCACCAGCTTTTTCGATTGCGCATCAACTGACATGTTAAGCAGCAAGCACTAGCCACAGACATGCGTGGGCAGAAACCATGCAGCACACAGCTGGGAGAAATGGAGTCTTCAAATTAGTTCAGGCCACCCCACACAGTATTAGATATCTCTTTAGGGCCTCTTACTTTTCCCCGAGGAGGGGATGGCCGAGCATCTCCGAGGACTCCATCACTTTTGTGTCCAGGTTACCTGCAGGAGTGTCCAGACAAGACTTCCCAAGTCTTGTCGTTTGATTCCACTGCCCCGATAAACCCCCACAAACAGGCAAGCATGTTTAATTCTGATAACCTTTTCATTCAAGATCTGTCAGCACCCCAAAGCCAGGTAGACCAAGGTACATGTATTTTTTTTTTCCTTCCAAGGTCGTAGTATAATATCACTGCTCTTAGCTATTGGAGGAAATCGGATTGCTAACTCAGGTTTATTAAAAGATTATTTCCTCCAGCTCCAGCCATTGTAAACCAAGCTACCGGATTCAAAATCATGTGGTGTCTTGTCTGTCTGCCTATACATACATACAGACAGACAGACAGAAGGATGGATGGATGGACGGACATTTGAGAAAGGGTCTCACTGTGTTGTCCTGTTGGCCTGGAACTCACAGATCCACCTGCCTCTGTCTTCCAGGGTTGGGCTGCCAGGCTATGTACGTATGTATGTATCTGATTTTTGGGCATAAAAAGACCCTACTGGTATCAATATTAAAAGTGTTTTTTCCCCCATCAAAGCGGCTGTTTCATCCGCGAATAGTAAAATAATCGACACAGTTCTTTTTTTTTTTTTTTTTTTTTT